TTGGACCTAATTTAATATCTTGGAGTGCAAGGAAGCAAGCCACAGTTTCAAGATCCAGTACAGAAGCAGAGTACAAAGCGTTGGCAAATGCAACAGCAGAGATCATATGGGTACATTCAATTTTGAAGGAACTAGGTATGAAAAACACTAGAGCACCATGTTTATGGTGTGATAATCTAGGTGCCACCTATTTATCAACAAATCCAGTTTTTCATGCTAGAACTAAACATATTGAGATAGGTTTTCACTTTGTTCGAGAAAGGGTTGCAAATAAACTTTTGGATATTCGGTTTATTCACTCTCAAGACCAAGTTGCGGATGGTTTTATCAAAGCTCTTCCCACAAGAAGTTTTGAAGATTTCAAGCATAATCTCAACTTGATGAAGTTGTGATTAAGGGAGGGTGTTAAACGTGATGTGGCGCGTACGTCAAGAGAATATATTTGCTAACCGAAGGAGGAGTAGTTAGGCTAAGATACTCATGTAATCTTTATCTTCTTATCTCTTGTATTCTTCTCCTCCAAGATGTATTCCTCAAACAACCTGTACGCATATCTGGGCTTGCACCCCAACTATATAACATGAAGCATGTCGGCCAGGAAGGCTAAGATGTTTACCGCATTCGCACAGGTCGTTGGCATCGTTTCCCCCTCGAGGGCATCGATTTTGGAGTTCAATCCGGTTAGAGAGACCAACTGGTGTGTTGGGAGGTTGGTGGTATCCGTTGGTGTGGCGTTGAGGCTTCTGTGGCAACGACGATAGGGCAAGTGAAGTCGGAGACATTACAATGGTAGTTGGCTCTTCATCGGCATGTTCGTGGGATTACCTCGGTTTGGTTGTTGTGGTGAAGTCGGAGCTGCGACGGCGGAGCCCCTGTGGCAACGATGACAGGCAGCAGGTGGTCCGTTCGGTGGTCTTCCACGACACCAGTCTTGCATAGTTCTCCTTTGGATCTTGCTTCAGAGTAGGAGCTGCTTCTCCCTCAATGCGGGTGGTTGAGTTCTGGCATGGATCTTCATGTTTTCCTACACAGCCTCTGCGGTGAGTGTTGGTTCGGCGTTCGTCCACGGCGAAGTCAGAGTCACTTGGTCGGGGATTAGGGATGGCGACGACGCCTGTTTGGGGGAGAAGTGATGACGATAACGTTTGTGTGCTAGTTTGACGTGGCACTCTTTGTAAAGGTGTGCGTGGGATATCTTGGTGTGCCACTCAGCAGTTTGTGACGGTTTTCGCCCGGTTTTCCGTTGATTAACTGGGCAATTCTCTTCTGTTTAATTAATGGATGAGGCAAATCTTTTGCCTCCGTTTCGCCTCCGTTTCGAAAAAAAAAGCCTGAACTAGGCTCATATCATATAGGCATGCCCAATGGAACGAGGTTTCCCTTTATTTTTCTCTACCTGAACATTAAAAAAAAAGGAAAAAAAAACTATCTAGCTGCACCATGGAGGAGTCCGCAACAACAGGGCAGACCAACGAAGATAAGCTTAGTAGTTAGCATACGTATGGTATGAAACCCAAGTTGGTCCAAGGCCACAAATTTCGTTACCAGAATTAGGCATATGCATGCCCACTAGCAAGTTATATAAGTAGTACTGATCACTCCTACTCTCTAATTAGCTGCAAGATATATGCTCAACCGCGGTCCAGTTGTAGCCACCTTGAAACTAAAAATCCACCTCTTTGATTCGAAGGCAACTTCGATGCGCTGCTTGTCACCGATGACCTTTTGATCCGGAGATGGTAAGGTCATCTGTAACACGCAGAGCATTAAAGATGTGTGTTTCGTTGATCCAGGGCCACTATGGAGGGAGTACTCGGCAAGGACACACATGGAGTTTCAGGTTGGCTCAGAATGTGGATACTTGTCCGCCTTGCCTTGCGTTGCTTTCTGTTGTAACCCTGATCTGAATTTCATTTGAACGGCGTGCGTGCATCCTGATGTAACCGTGTTACCGGCGAGAGATCTGCGCTTCGCGCATTTGTTGTTGATATGGTCCGTTGCTTTACGCGGCTGCTTGTACTGCTTATTACCAATTAGAATCTTTCTGTCCATTTGATCCGATTGTTATACATACTACTACTCCCTCCGTTCCGAATTACTTGTCGCAGATATTGATGTATATAGATGTATTTTAGTTCTAGATACATCCATTTCTGCGATAAATAATTTGGAACGGAGGGAGTACTTTGTTTAGTTTGTGATGCTGCACTAGTAATAGGCTCATATGTAAGGAAATTATTGTACTATGTGTTACATATTGGTCATGCGTGTCATTGGAACCTGACGTGTTTGTGGCGTGCTTCAAGAAATTGCCATGCACATTTATTTGTGGTTTGCCACTCTGTTGATGACATGATAAAAAAAAATTCAGTTTCGCTAGAGGACATTTAGATGTGCCATAAATATTGCACATCTAAGTCCTGCATCATTGATCTTACGCGAAGATTCGTGTGGATATTTTCTTTTTTCTTTTCCTTTTCCTTTCTATGCTTGTGTGTGATTTAGATGTGCAATAATTAAGGCACATCTAGATGTGCCCTAGACAAATCTAAATAATTTACAATGAGAGGGATGCGCTGTTCTGTTCTAGGATACATCATATGTTCTAGTTAATGTACATTCACAATAGAAATGCCATATAGCATCACAAACTAAACCCAAGTATTAGTACAATGGGAGGCATTTTGCAGCAAGTTGCCAATGCATTGGCATAGTTCTTCAGTTTCCACGGCTCCATTTCCGGGACTTACTTGCAGTCGCCATGGTCCGCAGGATGTCCAGCGGTCTCCAGTCGGCGTCGGACGTGAAGGTCAGTCGCTGCTCCCCATCCAGGTCGCGGCACCTCAGCGCCAGCCGAAGGAGCCGCTCTGCCTGCACCTTCGGCCAGCTGCCGGCAGATACATCCAACAGGCCATGCACCGTATCCCTCTTGAGCAGTGAGCACCTCCTGCATCTGCTCGACGATGTTGAGGTCGAGCAGCCCCGTGAGCACCTGTCCTGATAAACATATTGTAGAACATAGGCTTTAGGACCCCCTTATCTAGCCACTTATTTTTGCATCATGATTCGTGCAAGTACTTTGTTTTGTCCCATATAGAACAACATATGAACTTCAAACTTTACAGCACAACAGAACACTCTAATTAGGATGAGGGTAAAAACTTTCGGATTTTTTTGTGCATCATAAATACTAAAAACACCATTTTTAAATTATAAAAACCTCTTTTCCGTATATTTATGTTGGACCAAAAAAACTGATTTTTTTCCACATTCTAGTTAGAATGTTTTGACGTCTTGCAATGTTTGAAGTTCATATACTATTTTATTTGGAAGAAACAAAAAAGAGAAAATTTGGTGTAGTAAGTTAGTTGTGTAGCACGGATCTCAAAGCAATGTTGAAGGGTAAGGATAAAGGGTGTCCAGAAGTCTGAGCTCTAAAAATCCACGTCCTGTCCTGGATCACCACACCGAACGCGTAGACGTCTGACTCCGTGGTGAGCTCGCCAGTCATGAAGAAGATTGGGTCCATGTACCCCATCGTGCCTATCGGGTTCGTCCGCCGGTAGATTGTGTCCTCCTCTAGCGGTTTCATCTGCACAATGCATGCGTGCCGTGCCGAAGGCCCCTAGCCGGCTCACGTTCCGTGCGTCAAGGAGGATGTTCGCAGCTTCAGGTCAGCGTGGATGATGGCGTTTTTTTTAGAAAAGGAGGCGTGCCCTCGGCCTCTGCATCTTTTCATGCACACAACCATTTATTAAAATAAAAGGTTCAAACAAGTAGTCTCGAACATAAGCAAAAAGTCTAAGCAAATAAATACCACAACCGGCGAAAATAGGGCTAGATGACTAAACACTTATCCTATTATTAGACCGCCATCAAAACCAGTTGTATGTATCCCGTGCAACCGGCATGGATGATGGCGCGGGGGCGGCTGGAGTGGAGATGCGCTAGCGCGGAACGCTGCTCGGCGAGGATCCTGATACGGCCCTTCCATGGAAGCCCCTTCACCCTTGGAGAGCCCATCCATGAACGTGCCATTGGGGAGGTGCTCGTAAATGAGGGTGTATGATTCCCGGCACACGCCAATCAGCCTCACGATATGTGGGTGCTCGGTTCTGCTCAGTACCACAAGCTGGAGACTTCCAAGCACGATTCAGGAGATGCCTCTCCAATAGCTAGGTATGCAAGTCTGTTATCTACTTCTGTGAGTTCTTTTATATATATGCAAAGGAGGAATTACAGTTCAGATAGAACTACTTTCTTTTTTTTAGGGTGGACTACTTGCTTATTGCTCTGCAGTTAATCTTAAGCCATGCTGTGTGCATACTCAGACAGTTAAATGAATGACCCAATATATTTACCTCCTGCTGAAACTCTGGGAAACCTTGTTTACCATGGGGTCTCAACAACTTGACGGCCACTATGACGCCACGAATTTTACCTTTGTACCCTCGGCCATAGCCACAAAATTGACATGCATTATGTTTATATAAGCACAAATATTTTTTAAAGCCCGTGGTAACACACGGGCGTTCTATTAGTGCCAGCAGTACATGATATGTGATGATGTTTAGCTGCAGGCACGTTGGAACTCCTGCGATGTATTTGCCCTACTCTAGGAAACAATCTGTGAAGCATTCATGAAAGCTGAATTTACCAAATCGAGTGTTACATGCACGGTACATGAGTTTTCATTCTAGAATACAAAGTGATAACACACCCGTTTAGTTACCTCATGGATACATGTTTTCTTTACAGAAGTAGAATAATACTATAGATGGAGTTGCATAAGTGGTACATTAAGGATAAGCACTTACACAATGAAAAATTGGGGTATAAAAAATGACCGTGGACCGGATCTAGTCATAGTCCCTCCACAAGTGAGCTGAGAGGGTAAGTTATTTTGGTTGGTCACTTGGAAGCTAGGTGAGGATCTGGACATACATATGTGGTAGGGGAAATGGCCAATCTTCGGGCATGTCTGGCAAGGCATTCTTCGGCTAGGCGTAACCGCCGGTTGTGCTAGCCGCCGCCATCTCCGGCTGAGCAGTCTTTGGCGCAGCATAAGCGTCGGCTGTGCTCGCTGCCGGCGTCTCCGGCTGAGCATTCTTTGGTGCATTGTAACTATCGGATGGGACGGTCGCCGCGATCTCCTCCTTCGGCTCTTCCTTCTTCGCCTCCTCCTTTGGCTTGGTTAATCTTTTAGGTACCATAACCATGACCATCGGCTCCGTTGGCTTCTCCTTGTTGGGTGTATCTACTTTTTCTTTTTGTTTCTTCTCCGCACCGGTGTATCCAGAGGCGTCGTTCTTTCCTTTGGACTTCTTCTCATTTTTACTTTTCGGTTTCTTCTCGATGGTGGAAGGCTGGGAGGGCTCACTCTTTCTTTTGGATTTCTTCTCGGAGGCCACTTCAGCTTTCTTCTCCTCAGCAGCCTTGCTGCCGCCTTCGGGTTTCTTCTTTTTGCCTGCATAGCCAGAGGCACTTACCGGTTTCTTCTCCGCATCAACATTCTTGGGGGCGACGTCAGGTTTTGTCTTCGTGCTGGAGGAGACGTTGGATCCGGAGACAACATCTGGTTTCTTCTCATCAGCGGAGATGGCATCGGGTTTCTTCTCAGCACTGGCCGAGACAGCTTCGGGTTTCTTCTCAATACCAGCGGTGTATCCGCCAGTAGCTTCAGATTTCTTCACTCCACCGCCATAGTCAAGATCGCCATGGGCCGATGCTAGGGGGCTGGTGGAGGCAACAACGAGGAAGAGCAGAAGGGATAGAGCAAGCTGGGCCCTCATGATTATCAATCAACCCGATGAATAGTGGTGGTGCGATGAAATGTCTACAGGAGGAAGTCGGGAGGTATTTGAATGGCGGGGGAGGGTGGGAAGGAGAGGAGAGATGGTTCTGGTGGGTCTTGTGCGTTTCTCCTTGAACCGCTAATCTCGTCCTGTAAAACCATGCGCCCGCCGTGAAGAATGGAGCCCAAAGAGAAGCCAGTAACTTTACTAAATAAGGTCTAATCCTGTTTTGTCTACATCTTTTCTGGATGATGTTTACAAAATAGGCAGCATGCATGCATGCAACTTCCTTTTCCTTTTTCTTTTTTCTTTTTTTGAGAGACTTGGTTTTCTCAATAACATGTGGGCGCAGACCCGAGCTATCGACCTTGGTAGACGCAAATAAGATTACTCATCTAGCAATTCAGACATGTTGCAAAGAAAATTGCTTTCACGCATCTACAAAAATTTACCATGTTATAGTCGTCTTTGCAATGGACGATACGACATTATTGCGGACAACAAAACCTGTGGCATGTGCTCCTCGATACACCATTGATGTCCCATTCCTGACAAGAACAAACATTGCTCAGCCCTCATGATTCCACTGCCCTTGTTGCAACACCGCCACACGGCTTGCATAGCACAATGCAGTCGCAGCACCATCTTTCCCAGTGCTGCCACAATTAAACTAGATAGACGCAAGTTTAGTGTTCATTAGATACGACAAAAAATCATAAAACTTACATGTGACAGTTAAAAAGGAGAGCAAGCGTTAGTTTCCATGGACGAAACTGGTCGTGACAAAGCCTATCAGGCATCTCAACACCTTCTCTGTGGTGGTGTTATCTTTGGGATATTCAAGAGTCACTGGTTCCAGGATCCAGACTGAAAAACAACAACTAGTATGGGACTGCGGGAGCTGGACTTGCCATTTTTGTTAAAAAAATGCCTCATCCTGTATGTAACATTCACGAAAATACATTTCAGTTATATGTGAACCAGAATATTCTTGCCTACACGTCTACACCTACTCAATATATACGATTTTATGGGGTACCTTTCAAGTGTACCAAAAAAGTTCTTTGTTATACTCTTTGTGAAGAAATATAGCTCCAATGTCCAAGCCTCCATCAGCGAATATAAAGCTTAAAATTTGAGAGGGATGGGATACATACCTGGTTTGCCCGCTCTAAAATTTGATTGTAATGGGGCACAAACTACATCGCCCTCTTCAAAGAAACCTTCCTTGAATGCTCGGATCAGGAAACTAAATTTAACAAGTAGTACAATTTTGTCTTCAGCTGATCAGCAGTTCCAGCTCCTCTGTTTGGTAGGAACAATGCTCGATATTCAGAATCTTCTACGGTTTTGACAAAGATTCAGAATATGTGTACTTATCTTGCACAATTTTGTCAAATACAGCTTGTTGTGTAGATATTAATAATATCTCCATGGTTATCACTTAGAGCATTTTTAACCGATCCCCAATAAATAGTGGAGTATCAGGTGGAGTAAACCCTTAGTGGAGTAAATTTACTACACTAATTTTAGCCGGACCTAGCCGATCCCCTATATATAACGGCGTAAAGTTTTTCCATTTGTTTTTCATTTTCAGCCATTGAAACACATTTCTTTGTTTCTTTATTTCATTGAACGGCATTTTGATACTTTGGAGTACATTATATATTCACATATTCTTGGCTACGAGAGTAAGACCAAGGAAAATATGAACCACAATTAGACATTTTAAAAGATATCCAATTTCTATAACTTCTCCTACTAGTTGGATTAATATCTTCTCTATGTTTTCACTGTGGATCTGTAACTTCTCGAGCTTGCACACTTCTTTCTTTCTACTTTGATTTCGAAGAAGTAGACGTTGCTTCGCATGTAGTCTCACATCTTGACTCTATTCTTGCAATCAGTGCACGAGCATCTTCAATTTTCATGTTATCAATAGATCGATGTAATCTTCTTATCAATACTAAATCTTGCATCCATCCTACACATAAATTAGAGTAAACAATGAGCTACTGAAATTGTACCGGATCCGGTGAACAACCGAATGAAAAGACTCATATACGCCATCTTTCTTGCACTTGAACAACACCCACCCGGGATGTTCCGGCATGGTAGAAACTTGGCGCACCACCTGCCGCGGGCAATCGTCACACTTTATGAGCGACAACTGCGGGCCAACGAGTCGTTTGGCCAGCGCCGAGCCTAGGCAACGACCGTGCGTGTCTTCGCGGTGAACCGCTGACGGGAGAGATCCGAGCGCTAGAGGTGGAATCAATACCTTCATGCGATGTGGAGCATTGTCGGGGCTGTGTGGCCTGGTACCCGGCAAATCCATGGCAAGGCGCAGTCGCCGGATGCGGAAGCCGCAGATCTACCGGTTGTGCGCCGGTAACGGGGCGAGAGGGCACAAATCCGGGTGGTTAAGGACCGCGG